AGAGATGGGGTTTCACCATGTTGGCCAGGATGGTCTCGATCTCTTGATCTCGTGATCTGCCTGCTTCGGCCTCCCAAGGTGCTGGGATTACAGGTGTGAACCACCACGCCTGGTCTGTTATTCTGTTCTTTAAGGTTCTCTCTCCCCCATTTAACTCCTAGATCCATCTAGAATTTATTTTTGTGTAAGAGATGAGTTATGCATTCACCTTTTTTTCTCCATATGGTTAACAGCTTTTCACCACTGCTTTGAAATGTTATTTTTACACTGTGTCTTCTTAATTAAAAGCTGTTATTTAAGATGTTTGTTGGTACAATTCAGAACAGTTTTAAATATTAGCTTTAATTTTTTTTTTTTTTTTTTTTGAGACAGTCTTGCTCTCCTGCCCAGGCTGGAGTGCAGTGGTGTGATCTCCACTGACTACAACCTCCACCTCCTGGGTTCAAGCAGTTCTCCTGCCTCAGCCTCCCAAATAGCTGGGATTACAGGCGCCCGCCACCACGCCCGGCTAATTTTTGTATTTTTGGTAGAGATGGGGTTTCACCATTTTGGCCAGGGTGATCTTGAACTCCTGACCTTGTGATCCACCCACCTCAGCCTTCCAAAGTGCTGGGATTACAGGCATGAGCCACCATGCCCGGCTAGCTTTAATTTTTTAAGAGAGCTAGTCAGCTGTTCAGGGCAGTGATTTCTGAATTCTTGGGGTGCCTACAGCCCCGTCCCCTCCATGACAAACTCCAGTGTCGAGGCCTGCTATTTACAGAGAGGAATACGTTTTGCTCACATCTGTTGGGTCAATAAATAGTTTCCAACCACTCATCCAAGGATTTCTCCTTAGCCTCATAAAATCCACCTGGGGTCAGCCACCCGTCTAGGGATTCCAGGGTTGTTACTTGAATGAGAAAAGAGCCTTAACAGGAATCCAGAAGTAAAGGGAGAATCTTCCCAGAGAAAACAGAATTCTTCACTTTGTGTCATTAGTGTCTGATCTTCAGATTATCTTCTCATTTTATTTTTTTATTTTATTTTATTTTATTTGAGATGGAGTCTCACTCTGTCATCCAGGCTGGAGTGCAGTGGCATGATCTCAGCTCACTGTAACCGCCGCCTCCCGGGTTCAAGCCATTCTCCTTCCTCAGCCTCCTGAGTAGCTGGGATTACAGGCGTGTGCCACTACACTCAGCTAATTTTTGTAGTTTCAGAGACGGGGTGTTGCCATGTTGACCAGATCTCAAACTCCTGACCTCAGGTGATCTACCCAAAGTGCAGGTGGGAGCCACTGCTCCCGGCCTGTCTTCTCATTTTAAAATCATAGTCAGTTTTTACAATTTTGCTTTGGTAAATTTACTTTGATGGACCATAGATCATCCTGGTGAAAGGAACCCCTGGATTAAGCCCTATTGTGGCTACATTCTGGCATTATTGAAAGCTGGAGAATACAAGGCTAGGGGTCATCTCTTTTAATTTGAAACTGTTTAAAGTGAGAAAAGAGTGTGGCCCTTTAAAAAGTAGAATTCTCAGGGTGCCCCTGACTGTAAAGACTCCTAGAGTTCTCCCTGCTGGGACCAGAGAAGGCCTGCCTGGCAGTTCCTGATGCTGCTGATAGGGGGCAGATATCCCCAGGGAGCCTTCTTTCAAGCCAAACGTTTGACCCCTCGTTTTGTTTGGTAGGGAAGGTTGCACAATGGCTTTTAATCTCAGTCAATATTATAAAATGGTTCCATTTGCACTACTCAGGAAGTAGTTTGCCACTCTGAACTTAGGGGTCACAGATGTTCTCTGTGCTTGAAAGTGCTAGTGGCAGTGACACCTCAGTGGAGTGACTGGAGTTGACAGGATTTGTTTAACCCTTAGGGCACCTCATCAAGTAGAGGAACTAGGCAAGTGTGTCAAGTAAGAAGGGGAGCTGGGAGAGTTGTGGAAGTGTTTTTCTTTGGTGTAGGCTATTTTTCACTTACATATTTATTAATTAGTTTGTGCCAGCGACAGACACTTAAAAAAATAAATTCACAAACGATCTAAGGGTATTCAGTTTAAGTGGTCATGTTAAAAAAGTAATATCTGCTTTGTAGGCTTAATGTATGTCATATTGGGCTAATTTATTCCATAGGATTGTGATGAGAGACAAGCCTATAGTATGCTGAGGAGCCATGGTTAACACAATTTTGTCTTACTAAATGTCGTCAGGATTTTTTTTTTTTTTTTTTTTTTTTTAGAGACAGAGTTTCGCTCTTGTTACCCAGGCTGGAGTGCAATGGCGCGATCTCGGCTCACCGCAACCTCCGTCTCCTGGGTTCAGGCAATTCTCCTGCCTCAGCCTCCTGAGTAGCTGGGATTACAGGCACGCGCCACCATGCCCAGCTAATTTTTTGTATTTTTAGTAGAGATGGGGTTTCACCATGTTGACCAGGATGGTCTCGATCTCTTGATCTTGTGATCCACCCGCCTCGGCCTCCCAAAATGCTGCGATTACAGGCTTGAGCCACCGCGCCCGGCCCTTGAGCCACCGCGCCCGGCCTCGTCAGGATTTTAGGGAAGACCTTCACAGATTTCTCTGTATCTGTGTGATGATCGTTTTTCCTGCTTTTCCTTTCTGTCCCATCTTCACTCCTCCACAGTCACGTTAATGCTAGTATATTCATGCCAGTCTGCCCTTGAGTAACTCCAAGTCTGAGTCCTAAAAAGGAGGCTTCACTTAGACAGGTGCCCTTGTTGATTTCAGCTTTGGGAGTCACCTTTTTGTATCTTTTCCCACTCCTTCTTCCTCCTTTCTCAACCATCATTTCTCCTCTCCACTGGATTCTACTCACAGGCTTATAATCTCCCAGACCATTCAGCAGCTGAAGGAATTCACCAGCCAAGGGAAAGATCCCACAGTGGGGGTACTTACCCCTTCCAGACTCTTCCTGAGGAAAGCTATTTACCTTCCACGTGGCAGGAGTACATGTTATATTAGTTTGGCCTTGTGACTGTTAGAGGGGGAGGTCTGAGGGAACTGGAGAAGAGATGCCGTTTCAACAGAGGAAAAACATTTAGTAGAGCCTGTCCCTTCTGCCTTCTTCGGGCGTGTCCCTCTTCTGGGCATCTCTTCAGGATTTCATTCCTCCGTCCAGCTGCCGTTCACAACTGCCCTTTCCAACTGCTCCAGAACTCTTGGCCCTGGCATTCCGTGATGTAAATTATGCCACGCATGGTTCAAAATGGGCGTGAAGTGGTGTTGCCAGGTGTCGGATCACTAGTGTAAGTTTCCCGGTCTTTGGGGAGAGCCACTGTTAGAATCTGTGCAGTTGTTGTTTCAGCAGAAGAGTAATTTCACTGGCTAAGCTTGACGCTGTCGCTGGCGGGGAGAGAGGGACCTCAGGGCCTGGAGCTGGGGTGAACGTTTTGGTCGAGATTCTCCACTTTAAGGGTTCTAGTGTTGGGATGTGGCTTGTTTGGAGCTGAACAGTCCTGGTACCAATGCAGAGGGAGAACGCAGGACCTGCGGGCCAGAGTCTGCAGAGACTGCCTGCGGCCAGGGTGACCCCTCTTCTCTCTCTAAATGCAGGAAAAACCATTTTCCTGTCTTCCTAAAGATAGCCAGAATATGGCAAAAAATGTAGATTGCTCACCGTGTTTAGGAACATTGAGTCACAGAATTAAAAGACCTATATGTCTATGAGATCTTTTCTAAAACATAAATACTATTTCTCCCCCTGTTTATTGTATATTTTGAGGAAGTTACTATTCATGGTTTATAGCCCCTCAGGGGAATCTGCATGTGACGGAAGTTGCTGCCAGCTGACTGATTTGTTTAGATTCTTTTTTGACTTGTAAGTTAAGGGTTTGTTTTCAATAAAAAGTTTAATCTGAACACTTTATCTCTCAAATGACCACAAAAATGCTAAAAATTACATTAATAATAAGCAGTGAGAGGAAAACCTCATGAATTATAGTTGTTTATCCAGAAAAGTGTAAGGCATACTTTTATGTTGCATTCATACCACCGCCTTTAATCTGCTTCACTGAAACATGCTTTCCTCTCCCTTTTCTATATAGTTGTCATGGATGATGATGATGACTCGTGTCTCCTTGATCTTATTGGGTAAGACGCTTATTCCAAAACCCGAGTAAATCAAATGTGTGAGGTTTGCTGACCACTAAAACAACCTAATAGCATATTAAAACCTGGTAGGTATTTTAAATAAAAAATAATAATCATAGGTTTAGTAGGGAAACAAAGAGACATGATTAATATAGGGGTCTTTTTTTTTTTTTTTTTTTGAGACAGGGTCTTACTCTGTCACCCATGCTGGAGTGTAGCAGCACAGCCTCAGCTCACTGTAGCCTCCATCTGCCAGGCCCATAAAATCCTCCCACCTCAGCCTCCCAAGTAGCTGGGACTACAGGCTCGCACTACCATGCCTGGCTAACTTTTTGTATTTTTTTTTTTTTTTTTTTGTAGATACAGGGTTTTGCCATGTTGTCCAGGCTGGTCTCCAACTCCTGGACTCAAGTGATCCTCCTGTCTCAGCTTCTCAAAGTGCTGGGATTACAGGCATGAGCCAGCAAGTAATTCTGCACCAGCAAGTAATTCTTTATTTATTTTTTTCTTTTATCCCAGGAGGCAGAAATGAATAATAATAGGCAATGGCACACTATCAAAACAAAAACAAGATAAAAATTTTTAAAAACTACTAATTGTTTTAAAATAGGGAGAGGATTTTACACAGGTAATATACCATTTTCTTTTTACTCTAGTAAAAATTAATCCTAAATATAGATAGTATATTTGTTTGTTGTTTCATCTCTTTTTTTGTTCTCTTTTCTAGAGACCCACAAGCATTGAACTATTTTCTACATGGACCTAGTAATAAATCTGTAAGTAATGTGTAGAACACCACAGACATATATTTTGTTTTTTCTTTACAGTTAAAGTAGTAACCGCCTATTGAATTTGTATATTTGCAGAGCAATGATGACTTGACTAATGCAGGATATTCTGCAGCCAATTCAAATTCAATTTTTGCCAACTCTAGTGTGAGTATTGGAAACTAAAAGCAATGATTAAATGGTTTCTGTTTCATTGATGCCTTGTAAATTGAGCCTTTAACTGCCTTTGTGTCATAAGAATCCTTACCTTATCTGTTCTGTTGTGTTTTGTTTTATTTTATTTTATTTAGAGATAGGGCCTCACTGTGTCACCCAGGCTGGAGTACAGTGGTGCAATCACAGCTCACTACAGCTTCAGCCTCCCAGGCTTAAATGATCCTCCCGCCTCCTGAATGGCTGGGACTATAGGCGTGTGCCACCACACAGGCTAATTTTTGTATTTTTAATAGAGACAGGGTTTCACCATGTTAGCCAGGCTGGTCTTGAACTCTTAGGCTTAAGCATTCTGCCTACCTTTGCCTCCCAAAATGTTGGAATTACAGGTGTGAGCCACTGCGCCCAGCCTGCTGTAATTTATATAGGAAGAAAATCTATTGAATTAGGTAGACATTTTCTACTTTTAACTTAGCCAATTAAGACAAGCTATATGGCCAGGCACAGTAGCTCACACCTGTAATCTCAGCACTTTGGGAGGCCCAGGTGGGAGAATTGTTTGAACTCAGCAGTTCAAGACCAGCCTGGGCAACATAACAAGACACTATCTCTATTTTTAAAAAATAAAATAATAAATAATAAAAAGACAGGCTATATGAAGTTGTCTTCTGAATAATAAAAAGACAAGCTGTATATCCACTTGCCATTTTTCTAAGCTTTCAACTTTGTTTCTCTTTTTTTTGAGACGGACTCTTGCTCTCTTGCCTAGGCTGGAGTGCAATGGCACAATCTTGGTTCACTGCAGCCTCCACCTTCGCCTCCTGAGTTCAAGTAATTATCCTGCCTCAGCCTTCCTCATAGCTGGGATTACAGGTGCCCACCACCACACCTGGCCAACTTTTGTATTTTTAGTAGAGATGGGATTTATCCATGTTGGCCAGGCTGGTCTTGAACTCCTAACCTCAAGTGATCTCCACCCTATTACAGGCGTGAGCCACTGCACCTGGCCTCAACATTCTTTCTAAAATGACTCAGAAATGTTACAACTTGAGAAAGTCATATTAGAATGTTTTGAACCTTGTTACATAATAAGCTTTTTTTTTTTTTTTTTTGACATGGGGTCTCGCCCTGTCACCCAGGCTGGAGTGCAGTGGCATGATCTCAGCTCACTGCAACCTCCGCCTGCCGGTTTCAAGCAATTCTCCTGCCTCAGCCTCCCAAGTAGCTGTGACTACAGGCACACACCACCATGCCCAGCTAATTTTTTGTATTTTTAGTAGAGATGGGGATTTCACCATGCTGGCCAGGCTGGTCTTGAACTCCCGACCTCGTGATCTGCCCACCTCGACCTCCCAAAATGTGGGGATTACAGGTGTGAGCCACTGTGCCTGGCCCACAATAAGCTTTAAAGAAATTATTCTTAATTCATAGTTACTTAGAAATTGTTTTCATCTTAAATGAGAAAAAAAAAGATAATAAGTAACACTTGAGCAGTTAGTATGTGCTTGGTGTTGTGTGTGTGTGTGTGTGTGTGTGTGTTTGTGTGTGTGTGCATGTGCTTGGTATTAAGAGCTTTACATATATTAACCTCAGCCAGACATGGTGGCCCATGCCTGTAATCCCAGCATTTTAGGAGGCCAAGGCAGGAGGATTACTTGAGCTCAGGAGTTTGAGACCAACCAACATAATGAGACCCTGTCTCTACAAAAAAAATTAAAATTAAAAAGAAAGTAGATGAGCATGGTGGTGCATGCCTGTAGTCCCAACTACTCAAAAGGCTGAGACAGGAGGATCCCCTGAGTCCAGGAGTAGGAGGCTGCAGTGAGCCAAGATCGTGCCACTGCACTCCAGCCTAGGTGACAGAGTGAGACCCTATGTCAAAAAAAGAAACCCAAAACACGTATTAACCTCATTTAATCTTCTCAATGATTCCATGAAGTGGTTCTGTTAACGTCCTTTTTTTTTTTTTTGACGGAATCTCACACTGTCGCCTGGGCTGTAGTGCAGTAGCATGATCTCAGCTCACTGCAACCTCCACCTCCTGGGTTCAAGCAATTCTCCTGCCTCAGCCTCCCAAGTAGCTGGGACTACAGGTGTGCGCCACCACACCCAGCTGATTTTTTTTTAGTAGAGGCAGGTTTTCACCATGTTGGCCTGGATGGTCTTGATCTCTTAACCTCCCAAAGTGCTGGAATTACAGGCATGAGCCACCGCATCCTGCCAACATCCATATTTTAGAGATAAAGAAACTAAAGCACAGAGAGGTTAAGTTACTTGGCCAAATAGTACACAGCCACGAGTTGCAGAGCCAGGATTCTAACCCAGGCCACCAAGCTCTGGAACTCATGTTCTTTTTTTTTTTGAGACAAAGTCTCGCTCTGTTGCCCAGGCTGAAGTGCAGTGGTGCAATCTTGGCTCACTGCAACCTCCGCCTCCTGAGTTCAAGTGATTTTCCTGCCTCAGTCTCCCTAGTAGCTGGGATTACAGGCACGTGCCACCGCACCTGGCTAATTTTTGTATTTTTAGTAGAGACGGAGTTTCACCCAGTTGGCCAGGCTGGTCTTGAGTTCCTGACCTCAAGTGATCCACCTGCCTCAGCCTCCTAAAGTGCTGGGAATACAGGTGTGAGCCACCGTGCATAGCCCCCATGTTTTAACCTCTAGGAGCATCTAGACAAGAAACCTGACCTGGTGGGTTGGGGTGTCCTGCCTGGAGACTGTATCGAGATTACTGTGTTTGAGCCTTAGGTTCCCTTACTCTTTTCAGTTGCTTTGTTCTGCTGTGGATGGTAGTCAGGAGTTGTACTGCCCAAGGTTGAATCCTTGCCCTATCACTTATTATCCATGTAACCTTAGATGTATCACTAAATCTCTGTGAGGTTCAATTTCCTCATTTATGAAACCAGAATAATAATGGAATTACCTCAGAGGGTGGTTAAAATGAATTGACTAGACCATTGAAATCACTTGGTATGGTACTCAATAAATATTAACTTATTATCATCAGGACCTATATTTTCTTCACCTATAAAATGGAATGGTGTTCAGAAAGTCCTTGGGATGGACAGTTCTTTTTTTTTTTTTTTTTTGAGACAGAGTTTCACTCTTGTTACCCAGGCTGGAATGCAATGGCGCGATCTCGGCTCACCGCAACCTCCGCCTCCTGGGTTCAGGCAATTCTCCTGCCTCAGCCTCCTGAGTAGCTGGGATTACAGGCACACACCACCATGCCCAGCTAATTTTTTGTATTTTTAGTAGAGACGGGGTTTCACCATGTTGACCAGGATGGTCTCGATCTCTTGACCTCGTGATCCACCCTCCTCGGCCTCCCAAAGTGCTGGGATTACAGGCTTGAGCCACCGCGCCCGGCCGACAATTCTTTTTAATTATCATGTGTGTGTAAGGTACGTAAGGTACTTCATATCATGCAAGACATCTCTGTCACAACACTGATCTCCTGTAAGGCTTGTGAATCAATAGCATTTCTGACATTCATTTTGAACAAATTATCACTACATATGATGCCATTAAGCCCATAAAGTAGATATTTAGCCTGTCCCTCAACATGAATGATTTTTATTTACCAACTCTCCTACTCCCATGTAAGTATGAATTCTAACTTTTCACATTGCTTCATTCAGTATGTATTTATTGGCAACTTTTTTCGCATCATGTCAGGTATAGTAGAAATACCAAGAATGCTCTGAGGCTGGGGATGGTGCCTCACGCCTATAACCCCAGCGCTTTGGGAGGCTGAAGCAGGAGGATTACTTGAGCACAGGAGTTCAAGACCAGCCTGGGCAAGATGGTGAAACCCTGTCTCTAAAAATCAAAAATGAAAAAATTTAGCCGAGTGTGGTGGCACACACCAGTAGTCCCAGCTACTCAGGAGGCTGAAGTGGGAGGACCTCATGAGCCTAGGAGTTCACAGCAGCAATGAGTTATTATTGGGATCCTGCACTCCACCCTGGGCAAAAGAGTGAGACCCCCCCCCCATCAAAAAATAAACAAATAAGTAAATAAATAAATAAAGTCTGTGGCAGTATCTCAAAAAAATGAAGCTAAGCTCCAAGTAGTCCTGAGTGTGTTCATATTATCTGTCTGTTCTCTGTAAAATAATTGACCAGCATGATAGATGCCAATATTTATAACAATAAGCATTATTACTATGGAAATAAAATATCAGAATAAGGTAAGCAGTTTAGAGAGTTGTGCCTGAAAAGCAGACTGTTATGCTTTATTCATATTCAAAAGTAAGATTAACTTGTATGAATCCTTTTCAAAGGTTACAGATGCCATGTAACATCCTGTTGATTTTTTTAGAATGCTGATCCTAAGTCAGCCCTCAAAGGTGTAAGCAACCAGCTTGGAGAAGGGCCCAGTGATGGACTGCCACTTTCAAGTAGCCTTCAGTTTCTTGAAGATGAACTTGAGTCTTCTCCTCTTCCTGATCTCACTGAGGACCAACCTTTCGACATTCTTCAGAAATCCTTGCAAGAGGCCAATATCACTGAACAGACGTTGGCAGAAGAGGCATATTTGGATGCCAGTATAGGTTCAAGCCAACAGTTTGCACAAGCTCAGCTTCATCCTTCTTCATCAGCATCCTTTACTCAGGCTTCTAATGTTTCTAATTACTCAGGTCAGACGCTGCAGCCTATAGGGGTGACGCATGTGCCTGTTGGAGCATCATTTGCAAGCAATACAGTGGGTGTACAACATGGCTTTATGCAACATGTGGGGATCAGTGTTCCCAGCCAGCATTTGTCTAACAGCAGTCAGATTAGCGGTTCTGGTCAAATACAATTAATTGGGTCATTTGGTAATCATCCTTCCATGATGACTATTAATAACCTAGATGGATCTCAAATCATATTAAAGGGCAGTGGGCAGCAAGCCCCATCAAATGTGAGTGGAGGGCTCCTGGTTCATAGACAGACACCTAATGGCAACTCCTTGTTTGGGAACTCCAGTTCCAGTCCAGTAGCACAGCCTGTTACGGTTCCATTTAACAGCACAAATTTTCAAACATCTTTACCAGTGCATAACATCATCATACAAAGGGGTCTTGCACCAAATTCAAATAAAGTCCCAATTAATATACAGCCAAAGCCTATCCAGATGGGTCAGCAAAATACATACAATGTGAACAATTTGGGAATTCAGCAGCACCATGTCCAACAAGGGATCTCCTTTGCTTCTGCAAGCTCACCCCAGGGCTCAGTAGTTGGTCCACACATGTCTGTGAACATTGTAAACCAACAGAACACAAGAAAGCCAGTCACCTCACAGGCCGTGAGCAGTGCTGGGGGCAGTATTGTTATTCATTCCCCCATGGGCCAACCTCACGCACCCCAAAGTCAGTTCCTCATACCTACAAGCCTTTCTGTCAGTTCCAACTCGGTACACCACGTCCAGACTATAAATGGGCAACTTCTTCAGACTCAACCGTCTCAGCTCATTTCTGGCCAAGTGGCCTCAGAGCATGTCATGTTGAACAGAAACTCTTCCAACATGCTCAGGACCAACCAACCATATTCTGGACAGATGCTTAACAACCAGAATACTGCCGTCCAATTAGTGTCTGGGCAGACCTTTGCCGCCTCTGGAAGTCCAGTGATAGCCAATCATGCCTCTCCTCAGCTTGTGGGTGGACAGATGCCCTTGCAGCAGGCGTCCCCAACCGTATTACACCTGTCACCCGGGCAGAGCAGCGTTTCCCAAGGAAGACCTGGCTTCACCACCATGCCCTCAGTGACAAGTATGTCAGGACCTAGTCGGTTCCCTGCTGTCAGCTCAGCCAGCACTGCCCATCCTAGTCTTGGGTCTGCAGTTCAGTCTGGTTCATCAGGATCAAACTTTACAGGAGATCAGCTGACCCAGCCAAACAGGACTCCAGTACCAGTCAGTGTGTCTCATCGTCTTCCAGTTTCTTCTTCCAAGTCTACCAGCACTTTCAGTAACACACCTGGAGCAGGAACCCAGCAACAATTCTTCTGCCAGGTAATGCTCTTTCCCAAATCAATGTTTGGCTGATTACAGAATGGAAAAAATGGGATGTATGTTTACTAGAGTATAATTTTCATCCTAAACTCCCAATTTCTTAACCAAAAAATTTTAGGCCGGGCACAGTGGCTCATGCCTATAATCCCAACACTCTGGGAGGCCAAAGCTGGAAGATCACTTGAACCTAGGAGTTTGAGGCCAACCTGAGCAACATAGTGAGACCCTGTCTCTACCAAAAATTTAAAAATTAGCTGGGTGTGGTGGTCCACACCTGTAGTCCCAGCTAATCCGGAGGCTGAGACAGGAGAATAGCTTGAGCCTGGGAGGTTGAGGCTGCCATAAGCCATGATTATACTACTGTACTCCATCCTGGGTGATAGAGTGAGACCCTGTCTCAAAAAAACGTCTTTTTCACACTTAGGACTGGTTATCTTTTTTCTTGTTTTTCTTCTTTTTTGCCAAGGGAATGGGGATGGGGGTCTCACTCTGTCGCCTAAGCTGGAGGGCAGTGGCGCAATCATGGCTCACTGCAGCCTCAACCCCCTGGGCTCAGATGATCTTCCCACCTCAGCCTCCCAGGTAGCTGGGACTAAAGCCATGTACCAGCACACCTAGCTAGTTTTTTGTATTTTTTGTAGATTTAGGGTTTCACCATGTTGCCCAGGCTGGTCTTGAACTCCTGGGCTCAAGAAATCCCCCAGACTTGGCTTCCCAAAGGGCTGGGATTACAGGCCACCACACCCAACCTTATTTCTTCTTAATTAAATTTTTTTATGCAGTGTACATTGTAGAGTGGGGACTCTGGAGTTAGACTCTTGAGTTTGAATGTAAGCTTTATGACATGGGAAAAGTTAACTTACCACTCTAGACTTAATTTGTATTAGTGAAGTGGAGATAATGATACTACCATCCCATGGAGTTTTCAGGAGGGTGAAATGAGATAATCTATACAAAGCACACAGACATAGTCCCTGGCAAACAGCAAATACTCAATAGGAACCTGTATTTATACTTAATTAAATTCATTATGGGCATTTAAAGTGAAAGTTTATTTTAGATTATTTATTTACATTGTATAGCAGGCTACAAGGACATATAACTGTGGACTTGGTGAAGACGTGCTAGCTGCTTCTTGGTGGCCAACAGGAAGGGCTTAGGGACACAATGTGACTCATTAGTGGGTAACTGGCCTGCAACACAGGGAAGCACATGGAGGGAGATATCAAGACACTCTCATCTGACCAAATACCTAAGCCTGCTCTTATTATGCTGTTATGCAGGTTAATTACTGTGGGCAACTAGTAAACCACATATGTTCCTGAAAAGAATCTCAAGGTCATGAGCTTTAGTCCTTCACTGTCATCTGCTGATCCTTCAACGACTCCATCTTTTCTTTCCCACTCATTCTGAGCGTGCTCTATCGTTCCAGCTCCTCCTCTTCTCATCTGGGTGGACCTGTGCCATACCCTGCTTTCCACCCCTCCTCAGCCTTGCATTTCCACTCCACATTCAGAAAGATTCAAACTTCTGTTAGTATACATCAACATATTTCAAAATCTTTTTTTTTTTTTTTTTTTTTTTTTTTTTTTTTTTTTTTTTGAGACAGTCTCACTCTGTTGCCTAGGCTAACATGCAGTGGCAAAATCTCAGCTCACTGCAGCCTCCACCTCCCAGTCTCAAGCGATCCTCCCGCCTCAGCTTCCTAAGTAGCTGGGAACACAGGTGCGAGCCACCATGCTCAACTAATTTTTGTATTTTTTTGATAGGCGGGGTTTCACCATGTTTCCCAGGCTGGTCTCGAACTCCTAGTCTCCAGCAATCTGCCCTCCTCGACCTCCCAAAGTGTTGGGATTACAGGTGTTCGCCACTGTGCCCAGCCAAGATCAATCTCTTAAATATATGTATCGACCGGGAGCTGTGATTCATGCCCATAATCCTAGCACTTTGAGAAGCCAAGGTGGGCAGATCACCTGAGGTCAGGAGTTCAAGACCAGCCCAGCCAACATGGTGAAATCCTGTCTCTACTAAAAATACAAAAATTAGCTGGATGTGGTGGTGCACACCTGTAGTCCCAGCCACTTAGGAGGCTGAGGCAAGAGAATCACTTGGACCTGGGAGGCAGAGGTTGCAGTGAGCCAAAATCATGCCACTACACTCCAGCCTAGGCAACAGACTGAATGAGACTCCATCTCAAAAACAAAAAACATATATATATATATGAATGTATTTATATATATATATCAATTTTTTAAAAAGCCATATACCTTTGACTTAGTAATTTCACTAAGAATCCTAAGGAAATGAAGATTGCTTATGATTAAGTTTGTTCAGTGTATTTGTTTTGGTATCAAATATATCAAAGGTGTGGGGGGGGGTGTTTGAAATAATATCAGATTTATAGAAAAGTTAAAGTTACAAGATTAATACAAATAATTCTCATATCACCTCACCAAGATTCCCCAAATCTTTTCTCTCCCTCTCTCTCTTTCTCTGTCTCTCTCGCATACAAACACACGCACACACATACATACGTCACAGAGTAAATTACAAACCTGATGCTGATGCCTCTTGACTCCTAATTACTTCAGTGTGTATTTCCTAAAAGCGGGCATTCTCCTACATAACCACCGTACAGTTACCAAAATCAAGAAATCAGCATTATTACAATATTATAGCAAATCTGCCGATCTTACTAAGATTTAGTCAGTTCTCCCAGTAATGTCCCTGAGAGCAAAAGAGAAAACAAATTATTTGGTCTTGGTTTTGGTGTTTTGGTTTTTTTTCTTTAGAGATGGGATCTCGCTATGTTACCCAGGCTAGACTCTTGAGCTCAAGCAATCCTCCCGCCTCAGCCTCCTGAGTAGCTAGAACTACAGGCTCGTGCCCCTGCACGCAGCTTTGTTTTGTTTTTGTTTGTTTTTTGTTTTTGAGACAAGAGTCTCACTGTGTCACCCAGGCTAGAGTGCAGTGGCATGATCTTGGCTCGCTGCAACCTCCACCTCCTGCGTTCAAGCAATTCTCCTGCCTCAGCCTCCCTAGTAGCTGGGATTACAGGTGCCTGCCACCACACCCAGCTAATTTTTATATTTTTAGTGCAAACAGAGTTTCTCCACGTTGGCCAGGCTGGTCTCGAACTTCTGACCTCAGGCGATCTGCCCACCTCGGCCTCCCAATTTGTTTTGGTTTTTATGGTTCAGGATCCACCCAGGATCACCATCTCATTCCATTGTCAGATTTTTAAATCTGCAACAGTTCCTCAGTTGTTCTTGGTCTTTCATGATATTAATATTTTTGAAGAATGCAAACCAATTATTTTGTATAATGTCTCTCAATTTGGGTTGCTCTGATGTTTCCTCATGATTAGATTCAGTACATCTTCAACAGGATTACCACAGAAGTGAGGTGTCCACAGTGCTCATAATGATGTGGGTTTGTCCAATACTGGTGATTTCACCTTGAACACTTGCTTAAGATGGTGTCTTTCAGGTTTCTCCACTGTTTTTCCTTTTGTCATTAATTAGAATCTTCCAGAAGATAATTTGAAACTCTGTGGATATCCAGTTTCTCATCAAACTTGCACATGATCATTTAAGTTTTCATTGATGATTCCTGATTGAATCAGTTATTAGAGCTATTACTATGAATGGCCTCCAAATAGATACTTTCTAATATCTTCCTTCGTTTGTTCTATACTTACTGTTGGCATTCCACTCTAAGGAAGAGCTTTCCTTTTCTTCCCTTTATTTTTTGTTTGTTAATGTATAAATTCCTAGACAATTATTGTAGTCAGTGGGTTATAAGCTGTTATAATAATTTATTTTAATGCTCAAATCTACTCACATTTGGCAAGTAGGTGCCCCCCAAATTGGCTGCTCATCCTTCTGACATGTTTTCATCATGCTTTCAGCACTTCCTTCAATTTCTGGCAAAACAAATATTCTCTGTTTATCTTTTAATTTTCCTACTCCTGCCCTAGCATCAACTATTTTTTTAAGAAGACTTGCTCCTTCTGGTGGAGAACAACATTTAGAAACCAAGATCTGAGCATTATGTGTGTTCATTGCTACTAAGGTCATCTCAGCTGGGAAATATGTATATTTATACACCCAATACCTATAGCTATTTACATTTCTATGAATCTATATTAAAAGCTATGAGTTCATATTGATAATTCCAATTCTAATCTATGACTACAGAATTCATCCAAGCATCTCTCTTTTCCATATCTATAATTCCTTTTTTTTTTTTTTTTGCCTTTTTTTTTTTTTTTTTTTTTTTTTTTTGGAGTCTCCCTTTTTTTCCCGGAATGGGGGGCAATGGAATGATCTTGGCTCACTGCAACCTCCGCCTCCCAAGTTCAAATGATTGTCCTGCCTCAGCCTCCCAAATAGCTGGGATTACAAGCATGCGCCACCACACCTGGTTAATTTTTATATTTTTAGTAGGGTTTTACCATGTTGGCAGGGCTGGTCTCGAACTCCTGACTTCTGGTGATCCACCTGCCTCAGCCTCCCAAAGTGCTAGGATTCACTGCACCCAGCCTGTACCTCCCTTTTCTAACAGTGAGAAAGCCAGCTCCACAATACATTTACTTATTTGTTCAATCCTAGAACATATAGAAAATAGTCTTAGAATTGCTAATCCATGTTTTTCACCATTGTTAAAACAAACCTACTAATTATACTTTAGTATTGGTTTTCAGTTCTGTCTTTAGTCTAAGGGTTTACAGTCAACATACTGTGTTCAAAAGTTACTTGGGGCTGGTTGCAGTAGCTCATGCCTGTAATCACAGCACTTCCCAGCAAGCAAGCGGGGCAGATTGCTTGAGCTCAGGAGCTCCAGACCAGCCTGGGTAGCATGATGAATCCCTGTCTCTACAAAAAATACAAAAATTAAGTGGGCATGGTAGTGTGCACCTGTAGTCCCAGCTACTTGGGAGGCTGAAGTGGATCATCTGACTCCAGGAAGGTCAAAGCTGCAGTGATGGTGATTGCACC